GCAGTAGCAGCAGCAGGAGCAGGAGGTGCAGTTGTTGCAGATATTGCTGTAGCCCCTGCCTAGGTGAGCATTGAACTGTCGGTTGCAATTATCGTAGATGCTGCTGAGGCTTTTGCAGCATCTCGCCTTTCGTCAACGTTGTTATGGTTGTTGCTGTGGTCATGATTTCTTGCTACTTTCTATGTGTGTTTTGGACTGTTACGCTCTCTTGAGAGCACATAAGTTGGAAACGCAGCCGTGGCAGTCTGCCTGGTGGCAACAGGCACAGGCAGAGTGCCCTCCCTACCGTGATCCTTCAACGCCTTCATGCTCTGCCTCATGTTGGAATCTAGCAAGGGGATCGGGATGCCAGGAGCAAGTGCTTGTTCCTTGTGGCCAGCTGGTGGATTCTCGCCGTTGCCCCATTGCATGCTTTGTTTGCCTGAGTATCCAAAACCCATCAACCCTAATTGATCCCAACATTCACATAGGGCTCCATATCAGGGGCCCTAAGTTTTCACACTCCCATGTGCAGCATGGGTCTGTATGAACCCAGTTCCTCTGCACCGTTTCAAGTCTCTAAGACGCAGCTTAGCCGCCCAAAAGGCCGCAATTCAAGACACCCAGAGAGGACATGTCTCGAAGAACCCCAAGCTATCAGTGAAGAAGCTTCCCTTGAACTGGAGACCCTAAGTCCCAAAGCCTCATGCACCTTCTGCAAAAATGGGCTCGGCTCAGACGGAAAAATTCGTCTAGCGATTCATGAGTTGAATGCCAGATTGTTTGAAAGTGATGGACTCTCCAGTGCTGCTATCGCTCGAGGAGATTTACTCTGCAGAGTTTGGTGCGAAAGTGCGAAACACCTTCCTGCAATTTCCCGACACTCCGGAAGACAGCGAGAACGAAGCTCAGGCCGTGAGTGCTCAGGAGCTGAAAGTCGCACTGAAGAGATCCTTCTCAGCTCCTGCTCTGGTGGCGAAGGCGAAAGCAGAAGCAGAAATCGCAGACAGGTCTGCCACGTGGGNNCTCATGCCCAGTGCGCTATCTCAAACTTCTCTCGCAGCGTAGCCAGGCTGCAGCTATTCGTGTGTCGCGCCGAAACCTCCCTGACCTGTAGAGGCTGATGTCTTGAGGTGCTGCTTGGGGGTGAACCGCGTGAATCTTGTAGGGTGAGACAGCCGAGGTATTCGGAGAGGCCTGGGAACGAGTCCCAACTGCAGCTTCACAACCAGGGTCTCTGCAAGCCGTGCCGGTTCTTCGCCTTGCGTCCAGAAGGCTGCACCCGGGGAGCCTTGTGCACATTTTGCCACTACTGCACATCGAAGACGGCCAAGGAGAGCAAGAAGGAGGCTGGGGTCCTCTAGTGGGTCTCTCCCTGGTATGATATTCCTTTCTTGCAGGGTTCTTGCTGGTGCATTCCCGAGAAGTTTGACGTAAAGACCCCCAGACTACAGCAATTGCCAGTCGATAGAACATGATGCCTCGCACGAAGTGGTTCTTGCATGCTACTGCCACGGTACTGCTACTGCTGCCACTACTACTA